AAAAAAAAAAAAAAAAATGTGCTGCTTATGGAGGGAGCTCCTGTCGGCCATGACACCACCAGTCATCTCCCTGCCTCTTACTTGTCTTGGTTTCGCCTCACGGTGCTGAGAGTCCTCAAGAGGCCCTGGGGATCCAGGTGACCACCAACTTTTATGCACATCCACCGACGGAACAGCACTCAGGAACACTGGAAGCCCTTCTCAGCTTCCAGGTCATCTGCTTCTTGGACCCTTTCCAGCCCTCCATCACCGTTTCCGGGTTCTGGTGTGGATTCAGGTCCACTGAGCACCTGATCGAGCCCGGGGACTTCCGGAGCCTCCAGAGTCCTTTGGGACTAGAATGGAGAGGTCACTATGAGGCCCTTACACATCACAGGAGTTGATCCCCGACACCTTCGCAGGTCCCTCAGTCACCGAAGGGAGTCTGTTTGCGCAAATTGAAGGGAAGCGTCTCTTATCTTCGATCCAGACGGGAGTTCATAAGGGGGGTGTTCTCGGTTCTCCTGGGGGTTTTTGCTGCCCACTTAAATACTACACAAAGGAGCCGGGCTCGGTGGCTTGGCCTGTCATCCCGCGCCTTTGGGAGGCTGAGGTGAGTGGATTGCCTGAGCCCGTGGGTTCGAGACCCGCCTGGGCAGCGAGACCTCATCTCTACAATAAATCAAAAAATCAGCCGGGTGTGGTAGCGCACGCCTGTAGTTCCAGCTACTTGGAAGGCAGAGGTGGAAGGATCGCCGGAGCCCGGCAGGTCGAGGCTGCGGTGACCGGGAGCGGCCACTGCACTCCAGTCTGGGCGACAGAGTGAGACTCCAACTCAAAAAAAATAAAAAATACTACACGAAGGAAGATAGCAAAACTCAGAAAAACATGAAATGACATAAAAGATTTTCAAGTTATGACATGTTCCATCCAACAAAGTATAACAAACCAACCAGCTTTCTTAGCACATTTAAATACAAACAAAAGGATATCCCCACAAAAGCACTAACAGGACGGTTCAGTGTTCCTCTGGCGCCTACAAGTGGCTGCAAGGGGCTTTAGTGAGAAAGTTTCCCCCACCCTCTGGCATACCTTCCGGCTGGCTTACCAAAAAAGCATGTCCACTTTATAAGGCTGGGTACCCGCTGATGCCTCTTTCTCACTAGTTCATCAAAGGCTGGTTCTGGCCGGCAGGGATCCTCCTCAGAGTCCCCAGAGCACAATGTGACTCCAGCGGCTGCTAAGGGCATCCTTCTCAGAAGATCCCGTCCACCAAGGTCCTGCCGCAGTCACCAGAACGTTACAGTCCGAGTAAATGCTCAACTGCTAACCCTCGACACCAATAAGCTGAGAGACAGCGAATGGGTAGAAAGAGGTTTATTTCCAACTTCGAATCCAGTGAGTGGAGCCTGGCTCTTGGCCTTTCTAAAATGGTTCTGCTCACTCTTCAAGTTTTCACAGTCCACTTTTAGAGGTTCAGGGTTGTTGGTACCTACACATCGACCACGTGACGGGCAGAGCATTGTGTAGAACTTAAGTCACAGCCGCCTTCTGTCATGAATGACTTTAACTGGTGCCCACAACTCTCGGCACCAGTTACCAGAGGTATCGCAAAGCTTCTTATCGGTGGCACCAGGCAGAGGTGGTTATCAAGTTGGCCATAGAGTAAAAGGAGTTAACAGGGCCTAAGACATCATACACTGCCACATGTTGTCATCCGCAAAAGTGACACAGATCACAAGACTTATGATTACCTTGATAGTATTAAACCGATGACTATTAAGAAAAGAGAGTAAATGGGGATTGACATTTTTTAGTTAATTGGGCACAGTCGGCAGGGAAGTTAAGGATTCTGTGAAGCTACTTACTGGAGTGCGCATAGGCGATAAGGGGACGCGCACCTTGTGTTAACTCTCAGGCATGTGGGTTCGTGCAGGAGCGCTGAACCCTTGCCATGCCCTTGTCAAGCGGTTTGGGGCAATGTGGACAGACCGTAGCGGGTCTCCGAATCACTATGATCGCGCCACTGCGCTCCAGTTTGGGGAACGGAGTAAGACCCCATCTCTAAAAAAAGAAAGAAAGAAAGAAAAGTGAAGGCAGCCTCCCCTCTGGGCCCCCAAACAAGATGGATGAGGCAGGAAGGATGTGAACAGCACAGACTTGCAGTCTGGGATCGAAGTGGAGCCTGGGGAGATCCAGGCGGAGGCCACTGAGCCTAGATGCCTGCGGGGCAGGCTGTGCTCGGTTTGTTTGTTTTCTACCCCGGTTTTATGATAGCCATGGGATTGGGTGCCTCCCTTTCTCTGATGACAATTTTACGACTTAATACGAACATATTGGCCTCGATCAGTCTTGGGGATGGGAGGGTCCCTGCATCCGGCAATGTGTCTAATTCAAGTTAAAACGGCTGAGCGAAATCTGCAGGAGAGCAGGTCCCTCCCTCACCTCTTCCAGAGGGCGGTAGCAGGGGGCGGGGAGGCTGCCAACGGGGAGATCCAGGTTGTAAATTAGTAAATTGGATTAGCCGGGCGACAGGATAAAGGTCATTATTACGGAAGGCTGCTGGCCTTCGGAGCCCATGGTTTCCCAAGCGCCAGGAGATAAGGGGATCCTTCTAGGAAGGGTCCGGAACCTGCTCCGAGCTGCAGAAGGTTCAGGCCATCTGAGCATCCGTGCGTGTGTTAGCTGCAGGCACAAGTTAAAAATAATCACCTCAGCTCTGACATGGCTTTGTTCCCTGTCCCTGGAGATGAGAAGGGCTTTTCTTCTCCTCTTTAGGAAGTGCGTTGGATTCCGGACTCTTAATTCCCTTCAAAGTCAGGACAATGGCGATAACGGTACTAGCTAACATTTATTGGGTATTTTCTACTTTATCATAATAATCGTAGCTAACATTTATTGAGTGATAAATTCTCTTAATAAAAAATAGCCGCGTTTATGGGGTGCGGCATATTTCCCAAGCGCTGGGTGAAGAGCCTTGGGTACCTCCTCATTTCTCACCCCGGAGTGGGAGCTGGTGCCACCGCACCACAGATGGGGACGTGAAACTGAGATACAGCGGCCAGCTAAGGGCGTAGTGAGGGGGGAGGGGGCAGGAGAGGTTACGTGTCAGTTAAACCACACAGCAAACGCGGCTATCTCCACAGTTAGTTCCAGGAGAGTGCGTGTCTGTGCACACGTGCATTTGAAGTCGATGGGATAAACTTTGGTCGTGGGTAAACTGAGGCATGGTTGGCTAAGGATGTGACGCTTTGCTGTCCCATTGAGAACGCTGTCCTGGGTGCTGGGGGGAATGTGTGCTGTGGTCCAGTTGCACAGTGGACTTTGTGAGTAAATCTGTCGCTTTCACTGACTTCTGAAAGCGTTAAAGAGAAAAACGTGGTTGACATTTGGACGGGAGGGACCCGGTGGGTGTGCTTATCTTCCTTTCCATCAATATCTCACCTTATTTCTTCTTCTGGGCAAACAGGACTGACATCTAAATAGAGATTATGGCTTATTTTACATTTCTTATTTATTAATATTTATGCCAACTTTGAGGGTGCTGACCAGAAGGCATCTGACACGTGCGCGCGCGCGCACACACACACACACACACACACACACACACACACACACACACACCCGTGTCTGTTGGGTCTGCTTCTGCACCAAAGATCCTGACAACTTTCTCCACTGCTCTTAACAGACTGGTGTTAGGACCCAGGAAGGACCCAGCGGCCGGGCTATAAATAGAGAAGGAGCCTGAGCAAAGTTTGAGGAGAGCGCTGACATCACTCCCGTCCTCTCCACCCGGACCGTAAACTTGGACCAGACCAGAAGGGCTCGATGCAGGCGCAGGGCACACCCCAGGGCAGGGAAACTCCGGGGAGAAATCACCCAAAAGGTCCCCCTGCTCTCGCTCACTTCTAGAAAAGAGAGAAGTGCCCTTCCAAGCCCAGACGGAGACGGCAGAGGTTCTGGAAATAAAAGGACTCCCTGAGGGACACCCGCGTGGACGCTTGGTACTTGGCGTGGATCTCCTCTGCATTCCTTGCAACCCTGCCCTCGCCATGTGCTTACCAGTCCTGGGGACTCTCGGGCTCTGAGACCAGCAGCCCCTACTGACGCCCAGACAGCCGCGGTTTACAAAGCCCGCAGAGACACTTCTCCTCCCCTGGAACCTGTGGACATCCTTTCCCGAGGACGTGGAGGTTAAAGAGGGCACTTTCCCATAGACCCCGGGAGCTCTGTGCGGTTCACCCCGGGACACCATGGGGACATGGCTGCCTCTGGGTGCCTGGTGCTCCTGGCTGCTGCTCCTCTGTTGTGACTCTCAGGTAATGTCCCAGGGCCCTGGGAGGCTGGGCTCATCCTGCCAGCCTCCTGGGCACGTCTCACGGTGTGGTCTCTCGTGCAGGTGCGTGGTGTCCACCCCACGGCGCAGGACCATCCAGGTAAGACTCCCTTCCGTTGGGCGGGCGTCCTGGGAACAGGTCGCCCGCTGTCTGCGAGGCACCCCACGAGTGGCCATGGCTGACCGCTGTCCCAGCTCGCTGCCCCTCCTGGAGGCCCCGCTACCCCTCACGTCAGAGCCGATGGGGAAGCTGCTCCCAGCCCCGGCCTGGGTCATATGAAACCTTGTGATTAAGGCAACGCGGTCTCCTTGGGTAGAAGGCTCGCCATGCCTCCAGCTCACAGCCCAGGGCAGTCACCGCGCCCACTGAACTTGAATGCCTGCAAGGGCTCTCAGAGACCCTGGCCCAGTTACTGCCTCCCCAAGGGCCTTCTCTCCTCCAGTGCACAGACAGAGGAGGCCTCGCTCCCCGCCCAGCCAGAGCCACCTCCCTTGGCCCCTGGGACGCTCAGTCCAGAAGCATCGGGATGGGACTTTGCTAGGAGTGAAGGGAGGCATGCGGCCATGTCCCCTGTTGGGCCAGGCCAGGCAGGAGGAGAGGGTTGTGGTGGAGTCAGGCTGTTGCGTCTCTGCTGGGGGGTCTGAGTGGTAGAAATCCCTGCTAATCCGGGCAAGCCCAAGGCCCCAGCCCGCAGTGAGTCCCGCCTGGGCCTTGGCGCCCAGGAGCCCGACTGGGTCCCCACGAGCTCATCGTGTGGCCCTGTCTGCCTCCAGTGGAGGACCAGCCTCCAGTGACCCACCAGACATGGGACTGGGCCGGCTGGCCCCAGGGTGACGCCCCGGCCAGTGGAGAGAGCCCTGGTGGGTGGTGGCTTGGGAACCTGCTGGGCAGCAGTGGGGGGCTCTCAACGTTTCAGCTGCGAGGCAGGCGCCAGGAACCCCAGGCCTCGTACCGCTGTATCCACCACCCTTGGGGTAGACGTCAGACATCGGTCATTGCTCCGCTACTTAAAAAGGGAGGACACTGAGAACGCCCCGTGTGTCCTCTTCTGGGCCACACGGCTGGGAGGGAGAAGGGTTTCGTGGATTGGGAGTGACGGGGTGAGTGCAGTCACTCAGTGCTACTGGGGACAGGCATGTGGGCCCCGGTGCCTGCCGCTCACGGACATGGCCGTGGGCTCCTGCTGGCTTTCTAGAAACCAGGAGAAGGGGAAGGCGGCCCCTCAGCTGGTGTCACGCAGTGCGCATTCCTGCAGCTCAGGGCTGGTGGCAAGCATGAGGGCTTTCAAGCCTCTGCTTGGATGGAGTGGCCACACGCCTCCACATGCATCAATATGTGTCTACACACACACACACACACACACACACACACGTGCATAGTCCACACACACGTGTGCACACACACCCACACATGCACACATGTCCACATATGCATGCACGCTCTACATGTGCATACACATGCTCACACATCTACATGTATCCATACATGTTCACACATAGGCAGATATGCACACACATCTACATCATTCATTCACTCACCCACACATTGTCACACATGCGCACATGCCCACACACATCTAACACAAACACACACACACACATTCCCGACCCTGCACTTCAAGAGGCCTTTTGAACTCCATCTGTCCCATGTGGAAGCTGCTTGTCCCAGGTCCTGACAGGGCAGGAAGCTCTGTCTCAGGTCACCCGGCCCCATGGAGAATTCATCACACTGCTGATACTAATAGAAATGTCACTTAAGGGGCCCACAGGAGCTAGGCTTGGTGGCTCAGCCTGTCATCCCGCGCCTTGGGAGGCTGAGGTGAGTGGATTGCCTGAGCCCGCGGGTTCGAGACCCGCCTGGGCAACTTGGTGAGACCTCATCTCTACAATAAATCCAAAAAATTAGCCGGGTGTGGTAGCATGCGCCTGTAGTTCCAGCTACTTGGAAGGCTGAGGCGGAAGGATCGCCGGAGCCCAGCAGGTCGAGGCTGCGGTGGCCGGGAGCGGCCACTGCACTCCAGTCTGGGTGACAGAGTGAGACTCCAGCTCCAAAAAAAAAAAAGAGAAGGACCCACAGGAGCCTGAGGCCAGAGCGCCAGCCTCTCTATCAGCCCACAGGCTTCCTTCTCAGGACTCCCCGGGCTCCCGTAGTCCTGCTCTCCTCATCCTCCCTTGCCCTCTCTCCACCTTAATCTTTTAAACTTTTTTTTCCTTCTCTTGCTTCCTTAGCTAACTTCTGCTGCCTCATTCTGGTGCCTAGTGCTGTGCCTCGTGATAGCTAGGAGGTGCTCAATACACATCCATTGCCTCATCTGCACTGTCAGTTGAAGGTCTGTGGTCATCTGGAAAGCCAAATCAATAGACAATGTGGGCCGGGCATGATGGCTCACATCTGTAATCCCCGTACTTTAGGAGGCTGAGGTGAGAGGATCACTTGGGGCCAGGGGTTCAAGACCAGCCTGGGCAACATAATGAGACCATATCGCTACAAAAAAACTTAAAAATTAGCCCGGCGTGGTGAGGCACGCCTGTAGTCCTATCTACTCGCAAGGCTGAGGTGGGAAGTCTGCTTGAGCCCAGGAGTTTGAGGCTTTGGTGAGCTGTGACTGTGCCACTGCACTCCAGCCTGGGTGACTGATTCAGAACCCCTCTCCCCCAAAAAAAAAAAAAGCCAACCCATATGAGTTCAACTTTCCGGTGGATGTTGTTTTGGTTCACATTATCTGGTTTGTCTGTCTACACTAGCCGGGTAACTCGGCCTTGTAGACAGGTGCTTAGTTTTGCAAATAATCGCAAAACAACTTGAAATCGTTCTGAGCCTTTGCATTATCTGTGTTTATCCGTGACTGCAGATTATCATTTTGGAGGAGTTCTGGAATGTACTAGTTGACAGGAACGCTGGAGACTGCATAACCACCTTCCCATGATATCGGAAAGCCAGGGAGGAAGGTTTCCGGGAAGGGAAGCCAGGGCCATGGAGTCCGAACCCTCCCACACCAAGGCCTCCCCACCCAGGCTGCCGGCTTCCGCCTTGTTCCCAGGGCTCTGTTGCCAAGTGGTGGTGGTTGGCGAGTCCAGATCCGTAAGTGGCACTGGCTGAGAAATTGCAGGTCGTATTTTTAAAAGCTTATAAACATGCCGTTCTATAGATAACATCCGTAATGAGGAAGGGGTAACTGAAACCCAAGACCTATCATCATCCAGAAGCTTCCTGGCCCTGGGCACCTGCATCAGTGGGGTCGGTCCGCATCCGGGGGGCTGGGGCAGCTCCCACCACTGCCCGTCCAGAGACCTGGGAGGCTTAGCAGGGAGTGACAGTGGCCCAAGTTCCTCACGCCTCCGTGGTGCTGCGGTGTCTACACAGGGCTGTCATGATCTCTAGGCCATGGGAGAAACTTCTTTTTCATCTTCCTCATGCAAAATAAAAAAAAAATGTTCATGATGGAATTATTTAACACGATGTTTATACTCTATTGCCCAAATGGAACTTCGGTATATAGAGATTTTCCAGGGTACCAGAATTATACATTAATTATATTCTATGCTGATTCATTTGCTGTTTCGTTCTTGTATTTTATCACTCACTCTACTGACATAATTTTTTTTTTAATGGCTAGCATTAAAAATTTGGGAGATTTCAAATTCAAGATCTAGATTTGGGGTACCCCCCCACACGCCCCCCAGATTCTGCTTAGACACAGGCAGGCAGTGAAAACAGAACTCTCTAGGACAGAGTCTGATACAGGACACAGATGACAAACAAACACACTAATGAGAAAATCCCAAATAACGGTGAGCACCACGAGAAAACAAGAGAAGGAGCTGGCAGAAGGAGTGGCTGGCGGTATGGGGGAGTCCCGTGAGCGGAGACCTGAGTCCTAGGGTCAGCTGCACAAAACGGGGCACAGCCCTCCAGGCAGTGGGAACAGCAGGCAGAGTCCTGCGGGAAAACGAGCTTCTTGCGTTGGAGGCCGAGACAGCCAGAGCCAAGAGGAGGAGCGGGCAGCTGCAGGACAGCTTTCCTCTGGGGTGTGGACGGGGTCGAGTTTTCCAAAGAGAGCCACAGGGGGAGGAGTCTTGCCTGCCATCAGCCAGGTGACAGGGAAGGGGGAAGAGTAGGGAACTCAGGAGAGGCGGAAAGGGAGATGAAAGGGAGATTCTGCTGGGGTGTGTGTGTGTGTGTGTGTGTGTGTGTGTGTGTGTGTGTGTGTGTGTTTGTGTCTATCTGAGTGTGTACATTGAGGAGAGTGGAGAGACCGGAATATTGATTCTCAAAAAGATGAAACGGGAAATATGGTGGAGAAAGTCATTCTAAAGAACTATGATGTTGCAGGCTAAAATATCTTTCTCCCTCTGCCCCTCCCCCACTTTCTCCCTCTGTCCCCTACCCCATTTTTCCCCCCACGCTGCGATGCCCTGACGTCCTGACACCATGCTGCCACCTGGCTCGTGGTCTCGTCGAGTGGACTTGCAGTCTGATGAGAGTGTGGTGTCCGCTGGACACCGGGGTCTTGTCGAGCTGGATGAGCTCGTGTCACCTCTGCGATGGGAAAAGAGCCACAGAGTGTCCTTTCCACAAAAGAATGAATGTTCTTGTTCTGATGACACTTCCTGGGCTGGGTGTTTTACTCTGTGGTTGTAGAGGGAACCCATGGGTGGAACCAGCCCTCGGACTCGTCTTGTCAGCGCCACACGATGTTTTAATTAAAACGTTGCCAACATTAACATTTTAAGAGAGTTCACATTTAAAAATCTGAACGTCTGACTTCCCTTTAAAAAGTGGGGGACTTGACAATTCCGGGCATAGTAACCTGGCACTGGGTAGGGCACAGCTGTCCAGCCCGCTTGTCTCTCCTGCTCCGGATTCAGCCGTCCATGGCCTGGGGGGCACCAGCTATTTCTCTCCCACATCTGTTCCCAAGTCTGCCCAGGCCTTCCAGTTGGTTACTACCTTGATGGCCCTCCTGGCTCCTGCCCGGATCACTTCCCAGGACTTGCCGGCCCTGTGGACACACCAGCCACTCCACTGACCATTTCCAGTCTGTTTGACTAACTGCTGCTCACAGCATTGAGGCAGTGCAGGTGAGATGCACAGGGACACGGGGTGGAAGGTGGTGTTCTCACCGCTGGGCACCTGTGGATGCTGGCCAGTGTGGGGTGGACGGGAGGCCATCCTTCACACCACCAGCCCTTCCACGCAGGACAGACGCGGTCATTTGCAAATGGAAATGAGAAGCAGGGAGTTGTTGTCCTCAGGGTTTATTTTATGAGGATGAGGATTCTGAAGACACAACATCTGCTCTTTGCAGAACAGATGTTATTTCCTTTTGCGATTTTTCCCCAGATGAATTGAATAACAAGTCCATGAGGTTTTCTCCTCTTCAAAATATCTTAGATTTTAGGGAAAAAAAAAAACACAGTAGACATGAAAATGAATATTTTTTATTTCTGCATTTCAGATTCTCAGGGTTGAATTGCAACAAGAGACTGATTGGTTCTGAAATCAGTCGGGTCACGTGTCACTTCCTCACACTCACAAGACAATTCAGTTGTTTAGATACTTCTCTTCAGCGCCTGTGACACAGTTAACTGTGTTTCTGCCTTGCACTCTGGACGTGTGTACGTGCCACTGCAGGGACAGACGCAGCTGGGAAATGGAGTCCGTATTCCGGACACCTACAGGCGTGTGGCACCCTGTAGACAAAATTCAGGCATTGGATGCAGAGCTGTCGATCTCACCTGAATCTTTAGTGTGGACCCTGCCTGTGGCACCTGAATTGTGACAGCAGGTCGTAAAATATGTTTTGAGGAATACAAGTCCAAACATTCAGATGGAGCAGAAAGAGGGTACAATATACATTTTCTTACATCTGGCATTCAGTTTTTAAATTTTTATTTAATTAATTTATTTTTTGAGTCAGAGTCTCACCGTTGCCCAGGCTAGAGAGAGCAGTGGCATGCTCACAGCCACGGCAGCCTCGACCTGCTGGGCTCAGGGGATCCTTCCGCCTCAGCCTTCCAAGTAACTGGAACCACAGGCACACGCAAGCATGTCCGGTTAATTTTTTGATTTATTGTAGAGATGAGGTCTTGTCAAATTTCCCAGGCTGGTCTCAAACCCCTGAGCTCAGGCAATCCTCTCACCTCCACCTCTCAAAGTGCTGGGATTACAGGCATGAGTCACCGTGTGTCGCTAGCTTTTCAATTTTTTAACCCCAACATACTGGTATCAATTTCCAGATTAATCATCCAGACTTCTCTCTCTCTCTCTCTCTCTCTCTCTCTCCCCGCCCCGCTCCCCACCCCACCCCCATCTCGCCCTCCTTGCCCTGAATACCTGTCTACATTTTTTCTCACCTTGACTTTTTAAAACTCACTAGTATTAGCTGAAGAACCCTCTATGTCAGGACATTTGTGAACCTCGTGGCTTGTCCCATGAGTCCCTTGCACGGAGGCGCCTACATTTATTCCACCAGTCCTCTGTTGATGAACATTTAGATTGTCCTCAGGCTTCCAAAACGATAAGAAATTTTGCAACAAATACACCCTGTATATAGATCTTTGATCATACGTGTGCATATATCTCTAGAACAAACTTTTAGGAGTGGAATTACCAGATCAGAGGGAATGTGGCTTAAAATTGGAGCAGATACTACCAAAATGCCCTCCAGAAAGACCGTACTGATTTGGGCTCCCACCCAAAATGTGGCAGAACTCATCGACCTAGCGTGTCTAGCTTTCTGCTTACCAGGCTGACACATGAACTCTCAGAGGTGAGCTCATTGTCATTTGAATCGGCTTTTAAAAAGTATGGCAAGTTGAGCATCATTTCACGTATTTAAAAATAATTTGCGTTTCATTTTATTTCTTTTTTTTTTTTTTTGAGTTGGAGTCTCACTCTGTCGCTCAGACTGGAGTGCAGTGGCCGCTCCCGGCCACCGCAGCCTTGACCCGCTGGGCTCCGGCGATCCTTCCGCCTCATCCTTCCAAGTAGCTGGAACTACAGGAGCGCACTACCATACCCGGCTGATTTTTTGATTTATTGTAGAGATGAGGTCTTGCTGCCCAGGCGGGTCTTGAACCCGCGGGCTCAGGCAATCCACTCACCTCAGCCTCCCAAAGGCGCGGGATGACAGGCTGAGCCACTGAGCCCGGCTTGCGTTTCATTTTCTTTGAACCATCTGATTATGTTCTTTGCCGCAATAATCTGGTAGTTTATTTTTGTTAATAGCAGAAGTTTTATTAATGTAATAAATTTAATACAACTAAAAAGAAATCAGTACATTTCTGTCATACGTGTGATATAAACATCATTTCTCAGTTTGATTTGTTTTGATTTTTTTTCTTCACAGAGACTTAAGAAACATATGTAGTCAAATTTATAGCCCGTTTTCCTCAGAAGCTTTTATGTTTTATTTTATGACACTTAAATTTTGATCCATCTGGAAATTGTTATGGTATAAAGAGTAAGGTAGGGATATTGGTTTTTTTCACATGGCTAACCACTCCAATAGCTTTTGCTGAATAATATTTCCCCTCCAATTTAAAACACCACCTTTTTCATAAAGTAAATTTCCACATGTACTCGGGAGTATTTGTGGATTTTTCTTCTTCCTGGCTATCTATCCATGTGTAGCAACAAATAATCTCTATTTTATTATTTATTTTATTTTATTTTATTTTTTACAGAAAGGGTCTTGCCCGGGTGGATGTAATCACGGCTCACTGCAGCCTTGACCTCCTGGGCTCAAGGGATCTTCCCGCCTCAGCCTCCTGAGTAGCTGAGACTACAGGCGTGTGCCCCCACACTTGACTAATTTTTTTCTGTAGAGATAGGGTCTTGCCATGTTGCCCAGTCTAGTCTTGAACTCTTGGCCTCAACTGAGCCTCCCAAAGCATCGGGATGTCAGGCATGAGCCACCACACCCTGCCTGAGAGTTAATATTTTATGACACCAAGTCAACTTTTCCAAGATGGGGCCCTTCGTGCACTCAAGGCTCTTTAATAGCCCTCAGTATAATTTTTTTTGTTGTTTTCTTCGTGAGAATTGTGTGCAATTCTTATTCTTTTGTTCTTAAATGTTGTCTTTTTATTGGCTGCATTTATACTTGAGAATTTTCTTTTTTTAGCAGTGATGTTGAACTACAGGAAAGCTATTGACATGTGTATGTTAAGTTTGCATACGCCTCCTTGCTAAATTCTTTCATTGCTTGTAACAGTTGTTCGCTTACCAAATTCTTTTGCCATTTGTAATGGTTTTTCACTTTGGTTATCAGGCACACATCATTTGAAAATAATGATTATATTATCTCCTCTTTTAAAAGTTTTTTTTTTTTTCCACGAGGAGTAACACAAAGATGACTTTACTATTTTTTACTTTTCCATGATCTAGCAGACGTTTAGGGCGGTTGATTATTATTTAGTCATCTGGACCATTCTTTCCGCTTCTGGGAATCCAGGAGGAGGAGTCCAAGAGAAGATTACAATTCCAGGCCCGAGGCCACTCCTGCCGGAGTCACCTGTGAGAGTAGCCATGGGAAACTGAGTTGCTCATGAGTCGGAGGGTGGCTAAGGGCGTCATGGTGCAGACACTCAGGGGAATGTCACCCAGACTTGATGAGGAAGGCTCCACAGAAGCACATGCCTTAAATCATGCAGAGTGTCCGTGAGAAAGGCAGAGTAGAAAACGAGACGTCTCCATACAATTATGTCTGTTCAAAGCACAAGGAGTGCAGAGGAAACTTTGAGATGATTGATGCTCAGGGTGGAGGAGACAGAGCAGCCACAGTCAGGAAGCCTCGTGTGTGCGTCTGCATTGCCACCAGCCAGCTGCGGGGCTCTGGGTGGGACGGCCACTCCTGGGCTTTGCCATTAGGCTAAAAGCGCTGCACAGGATGGCCACTCCCAGACTTTGCCAGTAGGCTGAGTGCAGTTCTTTGTAGGGCCTCATTAGAATGAGATGAGGAAGGGGAGGTAAGCATCTCAAGCAATGCCCGGAGGGATACCGAGGTCAGCTTCCTCCCTTTTTAGCGTTACTCTCACCCTTGCTTCTTTCTGTTGTCTGATTGCATCAGACATCGCCTCTCAAACAATGGTAAGTCACAGCAGGGTCCCGGGCATCCTTGCCTTTTCCTGACACAAGTGGGCATGCGTCTAGCGTGGCGTCACTGAGCAGCATGGTGGTGTTGTTTTTACGAGTCAGGTGTCTTTTCCTGCTTGTCCTATTTTGTCCAGCTAAAGAGCTACTTCCTGATTTTTAATTTAAGAGTCTGAGTCAAGCAGGTGACCGACTCTCACAAGTGCCCTTTTAGCCCCACGTTCATGGCGACACCCTCATCCTCCCGGTAAGCAGTGCTAAGAACGCCGTTCTCACCTCCAGCATCTCCTCCCTGACAGTGACGTTGCTGTTCTTTCCTTCCCCAGGGTTTGCAGTCTTGGCTTCTGCGTCCCATTACTGGCCACTGGAGATGGTGGATGGCATCCAGGAGCTTCAGGACACAACAGGAGGTAGACACGGGTGGTGAGGACGTCCGGGCGCGTGGGGAGCCAGGGCCACCAGGCAGCAGCAGGGGACGGGCTCTGCTTGGAAGCCAGGGTGACAGAGGAGCACACGTCTGTGTGGCTTTCCTTCAATAATGATTTCAAAGTATTTTGCTGGGATTTTTATATATAGAACAATTGTATGTGGAAGGATAGAATTTCTGATTCAAAATCTGATTAGGATATGAGCTCCTCCATCAACCATAAGCCAGAGTTGCTGGGTGGCTCCTTCTATGTGAGTCCAAGTGGATGTCTTCTAGGTTGGCAGAAGTGGCACCATGTTCATGCCAGCCCAGCAAGGGCCTGTGTGAAGCAGGTGTCAAAAGTCATGCCAGGGCAACCCCCTCGGGTCTCCTCCCAGTGTGGTAGCTTTTCTGTCTTCTCAATAAATCCTGCTTTCTAAAAAAAAAGTCGTGCCCGCTAAGACTGCTTCCCACGGTGGAATGGTGCTCCTCCACCCACAAGGGGCACCCACCCCCCAATCGGCTCCTCCCCCGTCAGCTCCCCTTGAAACAACAAAGCATCGTGTAAGATGCTTCCAGCTGTACCCAACTCCACAGGACAGAGTCGCAATTGGACTTAATTCAGGCATATGCTAGCAGGAGAAACCCAAGCTATTCTTGAGCAATTCTTTTCTCATTCCAATAAGAACCTTTTTCAACTGAGAGTTCAGCATGATTTGACATGGCCTCATGTGTTTATTGTATTTACTTGTGCCCTTGACTGTGCCAGCAGTGGTACATAGAGCAAAGTCTTACTGCACCACCCCTGGCCCGCGCTGCCATCGCCATTGCCTCTGTGCCGGTTCCGCGCGGTGTGTTTTATTTTTAAAGTCACACACTGTTGCTCTGCGGGTTTTCCACACCGGCACGCTGGTATTTTCCCTATTCTGTGATTTCACGTGCAGCTGGAGATCGCCGCCAGACGTCTAAAATGCTTCCTTAAAATCTGCGAGTCGGGAAGCAGCGTCTGTGCTGTGGGCATCCCTGGAGGGGGAGCATGGCGAGGAAGCCGAACCCCGCGAAGGCGTGTGCGTGGGTGCCACATGCCCCCTCTGGTGTCGCTCTGGTCTTCTGCCCAGGGGACAGTCCCAGTGGCCATGACTGGACACCATCCTGTCGCTTGCGATTTCCCCACACGGTCTGCATTGTGGAGATGAAAAACGTCCCCGTGCAAGTTTGTTTTGTGACTGGCTGGGGTTCAAATAAACCACCCTTCCTTGCTGCAATCTAGTTTTCTTTTTTCCAGGCCTTTGTCTTAAGCTGTTGAAAGGGATCATTCACCAAGGGGAGATATGCCAGTGAACGGGTTCACAGCTCATAACCCCACAACTGCAATTTTTTTTTTTTAGATTAGAAAATATAGTTTATTTAGAAAGTGACAGAGAGAGAGAGAGGAGAAAATTTAGGAGTTATTTCAAACATGAGCTCTGGGGCTCATCACTGGGGATTAAATCAGTAACTCTTGGAGTTGTGAAACCTTTACCTGTGACAAATCCTTCCCATGAGATGATGCCATTACTCGGCCATAGTTACACTCAGCAGCTGAATTTTGTTCACTGCATGTATAAACTTCCAATGAAACCTAAATACATCAGTGCTTGTCCGGAAGCACTAGAGTGTGGACGGTTTCTCTGCACTCTCCTGCTGGGGCCATCTGGTGCATCATAATGTGACCCTGGCATATGTCAACTTGAGGACCGGCTTTCTGAGGGACACAGAAAAGAACAGAATCCATCTGCATGTTTGCTGCTGGGGCAGGGGGATGGTTCTGGAAAGCACTTGGTGGATGTGCGGGTCTACTATGTGTTGCCGAAGTCCCTGTTGTTTTGTCTTTTTGTCACAAGCCCATGCCGTTGTTCTCATGCTGTGTTTGTCTCATCTGTCCTTGTGACATCATAACCATTTGTCCTTTCTGTTAAGGCTATTTTGTAAATGGCCACGTTCAAGTTCATATCTCTCAACTGCTCTCCGCGTAGGAGTTGGAGAAGCAAGTTGGAACTATTGCTTGAGGCCAAATTCAGCCGCCCTGGCCCCCAAGGGGGTGCTGGAGTAGCCATCACGGGGGCTCGGTAATAAAAGGGCAGGGAAGCTGGGAGGAGCGGGTGGGAGAGGAACCCCGGGGTCTGGGTCTAGGAGCCCCTTCCGGTGCGTGCTCTAGGTTGAGAGATATGCTGTTCCATTTGTTTTCGTCTCACTCATTTGTTGTGCTTTTTTCTCTTGTTGTTCCACCCAGCGTTGCGAACCCACAACCTCACTGTGCTTCCTTCCCATAACTCCACCTTTGTGTATACCAATGACTCTGCCTACACAAATTTCTCTGCAACTGTAGGTGAGCACTTCGGCCCTTCCGTGCCACGTTCTGTCTGGTTTGGATCCACAATGAATTTTAAGGTCAATTCGATTTGGTAGTGTGTGAATTCACTTCATCTTGGCTGGCAAGTGAGGAAATGCAGGTCAAGAGCAGCAGACGTAGGTGTTCGGGGTAGGTCTGAAGGAAGGACTGTGGACTGGCATACGTCTGAAGCCACATGTAAGCCTTTAAGCTTCCAGAATCTCCGAAACCAGCTGCTTGTTGTGAGAACAGAACAGACAGAAGACGAGATCTTTTCTAAACATAGAAATTGTTTGGAGTTTTAAGTGGATAAGCTTCTTTGGGGGAGGAAAAGCATGCCCCTTTAATGGAAAATTAACATCGATTTGAAAATACCCCTTCGAAATATTGGTCTCCTCCCAACATTCAAATCAGCCTTTCTTCTGTAGCTGGATTTAAAAAAGCCATTAGGAGTTGTTTATGAAACGCATGCCCATAAGAGTCATGATACAAGTATTATCTTATTTCACAGCCTCCAGAGCCACATGGTTCATATTTCTCCAGCAAAGCTCACCTCAAGACGGATGGCAGCCATAGGGGCATTTTATTTGACCAGTGTAGAAAGACAGATCTGACCACGTCTCACTAATTGCTCTTTCAACTGTGAGGTGTTTGGCTTCAAAATTAATTCTGCCAACCCAACAGTCTGATGAAGGCATTTATACAGCCTCATGCAATTATGCAACCACGGGTGATCCGTGTAACTTTCTAATAAATAGATCTTCCCCAGTGGTCAATGGGATAGATAAAACAAGAACGAGTTTTAAAACAGCAAGGGAAAACATTGAGGCAGTGCTCTGCATGGCAGTGTAGTCAGAAAACCAGAGCTGGGGCCGAGACGGGTCAGAAGACCCTCAGCTCTCATGTGTGTCCTCAGCAGACTATACCTCCCAGGGCCTCAGGTACCCTCCTCCCCAGCCCATGTGGTAGCAAAGATATCTGAGTGACTATGACCTCTGTTAGCAATAAATGCCTGATCACTCTGGGTTTTATAGTCCTCACTTATCTATCCTGTAAACCATTGACCTCACCGTCGGGCGCCCTTGCTATGGGAACAGGACAAAACAAGATGGCCAGCAGAGCAGCGCCCCCGGGATTTATGGTCACTTGGTCGTGCACTTGGCAGGCACAGCCGGGACTGTTCCAAATGCTACCTCTGGTTTTCCTCTGAGAGTCTGAAGACGTGTTCTTGTAAAATCCTAAGTTCTTGACTTGCCTCTAGGATCAGGGGCTTTGGATTAGAGCTAAAAGGAAGGAGCCAGTCGTAGGTCTGGGTTCACACTTGCCCTGAAACATTTCACTTGGTGCAGTCAGTAGACAAGTCTCACAAGCCAGGTCGAAGCCATTCAGGACAGTGGGAGATGACTGTCGCTTCACTTGGTGACTCCACTGCTGACAGATAGAACAGTTATCGTAACATCATGTTATAAATACATATTCTGTACCAATATACCAATTACTAAGATTTAATATTAATATTATCTAACATATAAATAAACACACATTATTGATACTTTTGTTATTCATTATTAAATGTTGATAAATGCTATGAATATTAATAGTATGGAATGATGTATGATATTATAAGATTAGAAAGACAGGTAACACTGTAACTTCGATGTCAGCGGCTTGTAGGTCGGACCCGTGTCTTTAGATCGTTTCACTCATAAGCCACTAACACATGATGCTGTCATTCTTCTAACTTAGACATCGTGGAGGGAAAGGTCAACAAAGGCATTTACCTCAAGGAGGAAAAAGGAGTCACGCTCCTGTATTACGGCCGCTACAAGACTTCCTGCATTAGTGACCCGGCGCAGTGTGGCCCTGAAGGTGAGTGGCCGAGCCCCTTGGGGCTTTTTAATGCATTTCACCGTCAGCGGGTGGCTCTCGCTGGCCAGCGGCAGATGTGCACGCACCGTGCTCGTCAATTGTGGAACGCGCCAGCCTGACAGCCGGGAGTCGGAGGGAGGAGAGGACAGGGACAGGGCGCAGAGGGACGGGTACCAGGACTCCTAAGAGAGACTCACCCTGGAGACTGGGAGCTACAACATCACCCAACAGAGATGTGAGATCAAAACTTTTAATCCTGTAAAGGAGGAGGAAAAAAATGCCTTGGAAAATAGACACGGTGATGTCACGCTGGGATCTGGACAGGGCCATGGCATCTGTGGGCAGGAAATTGACGGTGTGGCTTCTGCAGCGTTATTTCTGGCTGCGGGATGTCTACGGGGTGGGCAGGGCGTGCCCATTAACACTTGTGCCAAGGGCTTGCTTCTTTCATGTCCCTCGAGAGTGGCTGGGCATTGCGGGGACGGTCGCGGCAAGGGGCTGCGGGCCTGTGGCTAAGGTCACTCCGTGCAAAACACACACACAGAAGAAAGAAAATTTCTTTTTTTTTTTTTTTTCCACGTGAAGGGTAACCTGCTGTCTAGGGTCCGGGCTTCAGACATTGCACATCTGGGTCACATTTGAAACATTTGGGAGACTTGTTTTCTGCCATCCAGGCCAGGTGTCCTTTCTCCTAGGCCAAATGAACATTTGCATTTTTTGTTTGTTTGTTTGTTTGTTTTTTGAGTTGGAGTCTCGGTTGCCCAGACTGGAGTGCAGTGTCCACTCCTGGCCACCACAGCCTCGACCTGCTGGGCTCTGGCAATCCTTCCGCCTCAGCCTTCCGAGTAGCTGGAACTACAGGTGCGCACTACCACGCCCGGCTGAATTTTTGATTTATTGTAGAGGTGAGGTCTCGCCAAGTTGCCCAGGCGGGTCTCGAACCC